ATTACTGATTCTTCTTCTGTGCTGCCAGTGATTCTGTTGTAAGGGTTGTAAATTATTCAAGCTTAAACCGATTACATCTGCGGTTCATGCTCTGCAGGTACACAGGTGCAGCCTGGAGTGTTGTTACTTGTAAGCTAAAGCTGGATGGAGGCTCTACCCCTGACTCGCTTTAGATCATTTTTTCTTACGGTGCCAAATTAGAAGAAGGCTGTGCACTGCCAAGCAAACTAAAGCTCACTCTTGCTTGCTGTAGTGAAAAACACTCAATTTAAAATCAAAAAGAAAGTGCAGACACTATTCAGACCATGAAACTAAGTCATATCATGCGGCCCCTATTTTTGCCCAAACGTCTCAAATTATTTGCCTGACGTGTTAGAGGCATGTGTCCAAGATCTCTTTGGCTTTGATGCTAAATCCCCCAAGCATATCTCTTGTCCTGGACTTGGCACACCACAGTCTGGAGTGGTTCTTAGGAGCTTGTGACAGCGTGTTGTGGTGGAGCCACAGAAAGCGAACTGAGCAGGGATCATGTTATATCAATGCTGACCACAGTGATCTGCTTTGGGATCCAAGAAGCTGCTGACCAAGTGACAAGAGTGCATTATAAGCCATTCTCTGTCACATTTTCTGAGTTTCTCTGCTCTCTGTTAACCAGCATAAACTGTATGTAAAGGTCAGAGCCAGAAGTAAGTTAAAGAGATGCATTCATAAGTGATACTGGTCCACCTCCTCATCACACAAATATATATATGTATATATAAGAAGTGACGGCTCTTTTTCCTTTCAGTTAATATTTTATCTTCTCAGACTTTTTTGAGTTGTCTTATTTTATACAGCTGAACTCTTCAACAGTTAAACAACAGTTGATCTTTTTTTTTTATAGAGCACTCGTATATGTAGACCGGATCCCTGTCAAGAATCTAATTCAGGCTTCAATTTAACATTTAGATGTTCTCTAATAAGCATTACGGTTTTTTTTTCTTTTCTTTTTTTATTCCCCGTCCCCTCAACTAGTCACAGCAGATGGCTGCCCCTTGCTGAGCCTGGTTCTGCTGGAGGTTGCTTCGTGTTAAAAGGGAGTTTTTTCTTCCTACTGTCACCAAGTGCTTGCTCATTGCTAATTGCTGGGGTTTTCTCTCTATTTTTGTAGGGTCTTTACCTTACAATATACTGAGGGGACTGTAGTTGTGATTTGTTGCTAAATAAATTGAACTGAAGTTAACTGAACTGAATTGACTGAACTGTAACTTCAGTTAATTTTAACACAAAAATTCTCAAGGAAAGCACATTTTGCTGCATGTGATTCATGTAAATTACAAAAAAAACCCTCCAATCTCAAATCTCCAATCTTCTCCTCACCAAAAAATATCCTCCCTCTGTGTTTTTAATTTCAGAGTGTAGATCAAAATTAAGCCCCTCTGATATCATCTTTGTCACAATCCGTCTGCAATTATGAGAACATTTTGATTAAAACCCATCCTTTTGAGTTTAACATAAAAATCTGAGAGGTGTGTCTTTTGAAGAAAAACAATCCCTGCTTTGTCCCTTGTCATTTTAGTCAAATGTTTGGATTGCCAAACTAGCGAGATGCCTCTATTCTGGCATGAAAAGAGCCTCGGGATACCTCCAGAACATCTTAAGGAGGTGGATGGGTAAAGGGAGGTCTGGGCATGTCTGCAAACTGGATAAGGAGCAAAAACTGGATGGACAAATGCATTGGGTAGATGGATGGATGGATATATGGATGGATGGATGGATCCTAAAAGTATATGGTGTCATACTGGGCTTTTTTTAAGATTAAACGTTTGTCTTGTTGCTAATTTATCCTTTTACCACACCATGTGACATTTTTCAGAAAACAGAAAAAAAAATTAAACTCAGCATGACTTCATTTAGTGCAGCTGTGTTTCACGGCATTGCTCTCAGCCTGCTTTTCTTGTCTTTGTGATCTCCAGGCTGTTCCAAAAGAAGAAGAAGTGAAGAAGTGTGTGGATCTTTAAGGCCATCTGTTTGTGTTGAGGATCCCAAAGGCGTCTCTCCATCATGGAGCAAAACCGACCGAAAGTAGAAGACTCTTTCACTCTCTCCCTTCCAGTGTACCACCGATTACTGAGCAAAAACGAAGAGAGCGTTTGTCCTGAATTTGGTGCTTTGAAAAACAAGTATGAGGGAGGCTAACACTGAAAGTTTTGACTTTATAGTCCCTTTTCTAGGTTCTACACCCCAGTCGTGACTTGAATACTCCCTTTCTTGTGTTTGTAGTTTGGTTTATTTTATCCACTTGGTTTGCTTTCATCCATTTTGCAGTGGATCCTTCGCCATTTTTTCCATAGATATCATTTGTACAGTGTTGTTTCTATTGATTCCTCTACTGGTGCTTGTGTCTCTGTATGAAAGACCATTGATTTCCTTTTTCTGTGTCCTGTTTTTGATGAACTCTTTTTTACCTTCTATATTGTAGCAAGAAAAGATTTTGTATCTCGTAGGTTTAGCAATAACACACTTTTTTTTATTTGTTTTTTGTTTTTACATTTTAAAATGAAATTCATCACCGTACATATACAGAGTTTATGTGCAAATGTAAATCACCGTAAAGCAAATCGCATCTTATTCACTGTAAGGCAGCTCCTGAGTCCAAATCGGTCTT